CACCTGATTTGATTTTGATTTAGTAAATATTATCTCAGATCATGACAATCATAAGTCAAGGTTAAAGCAATACGTCAAGAAATTCAAACTCAACTATACTACATGTATAATTTCTTCTTTCCTTCTACAAAATGTCTTTGGAAAAAAATGCCTTTGGTGATTCAAGATAATCCCTTTCTCTCGGGTTTCAATCATACTTAAATTCTAGTCATTTTTTTGAGTGGGATTGGCCATGTGTCATGTTGTAAATTTTGAATTTACCGGGTGGCAGTGAATACAAAATTTACAACATGACAAATTTGTCATGTTGTAAATTTTGTATTTACTCCCACCCGGTAGATTCAAAATTTACAACATGACACTAGTTTTACATACAAAACTCGGACTCGAATTTAGTTCTGTGAATTTACATATCTTGCGTAGACATCTTTGTAATACTTCATTGTGTTCATGTGGTGAAATTGAAACTACCGAGCATCTTACAATGTAACAATTTATTAGAATGCGTTAACGAGCTATTCTTACAATACCTCATCCTATAACTGTTGATATATACTGACACGCAAAAGGAGTAAAAAATACACATATTTGAATTTTTTATCTTCAAATTTTTTATCTCAAAATCTAACATATATTTTAACAATAGGAAAAAAACTTGATTAAAAACACCGGAGAATTGATTAATCAAACGTTGAACATTATCTTTTTTCAAACTTAAGAGAGTAACAGGTAACACCCCCCCCCCTTATAAATTCGATTTCAGCGTGCAAGTCCTACATCACAACAATTGCAACTAGGATTCTACGATGAATTGAAATCACCAGTCTCTTGATTTGAGCGAAAGAAATATTCTTCAGTCTTTCTGAAGTGCCTGTTTTTCAAATTTATGCGGTCGAATTTCCTCAAACATGGCGCAGTGTAGTAACCATTGGACTCCGGTCCACGACTGTCATTCAAGCTAGTGAGACGTATGAGTATGATAAGGCATGGTATAGTTCATCCTAATAACTGCAACGATTTTTCATCGTCTTTTTGAATTTCCAGCTAGAAGTAACCGAAACAGTCATTTTCAGGAAGTTTTGGCATCATTTATGGAAAAGAAACGATATTCTACAATACTTTTGATGAACAGAAACAAACTCTTGCAAACCTTAATTATAGCCAAAAGTTTTGTTAAAACCTGCAATTTATGATTACCCTTGAGTTGGGCTCGAATTTTAAACAAGTTGCGAGATGAAAATCACTCAGCCGTAAAATGACTGATTAATGAAAGTTGAAGATAACCTTACTATTTACGTACAAAATTGTATCCTATATCTGATTTTATATCTCTAAAATAGGATGTTGCGTTTCTTTTGCGTTTCAGTATGCTACTTCATGGTTCACACAATATTTCAGAAATAGAAAACAAAATATAATTTACTTATCATTTAAAACTTTCTGGCTGAAAGTAAAAGAATTCATTGATATCTATTTACTATTAGGACTTATTATTTTGGTGTAAATATTGTTTCAGCGGAAAACAATTTTTTATGTGATCTGGTATGAATTTGCTTTGTTTATGTTAAAATGAATTTTTTGGAGATTTTTTTCACCGATTTCCCTTCCAGTAAAACTGCACAATATACGCATAATTATGAAAATATTTTCTCCCTGGGCGTATTCTATATTAGTTTTCATTTACATACATGTACTCTCACTTATGGCATTAGAGAGCGGGATGGATAAAAGCTTATTGGCTTGTTTCCCTGTACTATTGTATTTATTACTGGTGTATTCTTAATTTTACCAATTTTGTTAATAAAACATTATAAAGCTTTTCACACAAATTTTGGACAGTGGCTCTATATATGGTATCTTTATAAGGATACCCACTTCCGGCCCAACCCGGGGTTGAACTCTCGACCTACGGAATCTGTCTCCTAGCAGTACAGGAACAGCGCGCTAGACCGCACGGCCATCTAGGCAAGTCACAAATGTTACTTTCATGCTGATGGAATTCTCGCAGCGCCGCCCTACACTATAGTTATTGTAAATTAAATGTGCTTTAAAAATAAATGAATTTCTCTGTGCTTTATTTATCAATATTCCTTTCACTTAGGGAGCATACAAGCATTTTTAAGCCTTTTTAGTGACAGATTAACAAGAGATTAGATACTGTGCCCTCTCTCGGGAAGGATTTTAGAATATATGTATCTTAAACAATCTAATTTGTTGTATTCAACAAAAATTCTATTATAAGGGTAAATTACATTTTTTAAGCGGTAAAGCACATCTTATACAAAAAAGCAGCTATTGAATCTGTCAGTGGCAGGTTGTTGTAAAGTACGATCGATGGAAGTTTGAATAGCAATGTGTAATGTGCATTCTTGTGCACTGGGATAATTGATACATACAACACAATATAGAGATATTGTGCAGTGCTCAAACGCCGTGTCATGAAAAGCTCTTTTTCTATCCATTGCTCAGTGTACTTGTTCGCGTGTCATATTGCTGTTTTGAAAAAAATCCCCTGGGAAAATGTTAAATCTTATCAATGACATAATTTATGCAAGAGCTTGTATCGACAGTGTCTTAATTTAATTAGGTCGTGCTTGCTCGCTATCCGTCATTTATTATTTATGGTGCAAATAGGATTTTCTTGGCTGGCTTCTGTCAGATGACCACAGCACATCACTTTTACCGTACCTCGAGGGAGTGAACATCGTCAATATATGATGTTCAATCCCGGCAAATCTGGATTCTGTCGTCTTGTTACCCAAGAGAGAGAGAAATCCTTAAAAATATTGAACAATTCGGTTGCAAGCAACAGGTTTACTACAATATGTAGACTGTCATAAATAGTACATGTTTCGTCAACATGTAATTGAGCCCTAGCTAGATAAAATTATGATCTGCTATTAAAAATCGACCCGAGTCATGGGTGAAACGAACTCAAAAATGTGGAATTTTGAACCAGACTATTTTTCAGCAGGTTTTTTGGAAGAGTAAAATTGAATTCTAGACAAAACTCATGTTGGAAATATTTCCCTGTTGAACCACGTGACCATCGCCAGATTTCCGAGCCTGGAAAGGGGGGGGGGTTGCAAGCTAGTGTCTGGGAGGTACCTCCTATTCTGAGTTAGAATTTTTTTTAAAAAAATGGATATCATTTTGTGGGTTCTGGTTTATTCTAAAAGTCGTTTTGTTCATATATTACATGTAACAAAATCTAGCAGCATAAAAAATATTGAAGTTGTTTTGTCTCAAAAGAAATATTTCGGATTTTTTTTTTCTAAAAGGTGATGCAATCGCATCTTCCCTTGTAGATGGCCTTGGAACCATTATGGCTTCAACATGTTTTGTGAAATTATCCACGAATACTTAAAATGTAACGCCTTAAACAGTTTTAAATTATGCTTTTTCCCTAAAAATTGAATAATTAATGTTTGTACTAATTAATTTAAAGATTTCTTTAGCTTAACATTTTTTTCTTTAAGATTGCACTTGTAAGTCAGTTATGTACCACGTCAATATCAGAGTTTTAGACACACTTTTTAGAATATAGATGTATGTAAATTTGTCAGTTTTCAGAAAAGGATTCTTGTGATTTTTTTTTTAAATCTTGTCATATTTTAGAGAATTAATACCTGCATGATCGTAGTTACATTTTGATCGGAATATCTTACAAATTCTTTGGTTTTAATTCTCCATAAGTATATATTCTGTATACTATTAAGTCTATTAATTTAAAAATATACAATGTAAATACAAAGGGGGGATTTATGGAGTTTAGACGGGGTCCTAAGATGTAATATTGTTCACAGTGGCAACATTGCATAACCGAAATATTTGAAAACAAGTACCGTTTGGTTATCATAACCGGAAAATTATCGTTTTGATTGCTGGGAGAATATTAGAAATCATTAACGAATTTTTTTTTAAATGAGATACCGGCGTGCATGAATATCAAATTCAATGTAGGCATCAAATCCAGAAAAAAAATTAAGAGAACGAACGACGTTCAGTGCCGAATTCTATAAAAGTAATCAATATATCATCCTGTTTTGGGCATTATCACTCAGAAACAGACAACAACATATATCAAGATATGAGCATTGGTTAATAGTGAAACGGCTGAAAATACATTTTTGACTATGTTTCTGGTGCGGTGTCAGTCCAGCATTATATTCCAATTTGGGCAACACTTTTCTGCAGTAACTGAAATTCGAATTATTATGTTGAGGATTAGAAGCGTTTTAGTCTAGTTTTCATTCGACTGTAAATATATGTATCTGACTATTAATCAAATCCATTAAAATTGTCGGCTCAAAAGCCTCTTTCACCCTCCCCGTTGTGAAAAGAGGACAACTGTACAACCTCACAAACGAAAGAATTTAAATTTACATTTCGGAAATGTTATACATTAATTTCGAAATTAATTATACATGTAATATAGTTTCGATAATGATGCCTGAATATCTTCAGTATTGCATATCAATATTCAGTAATGCAAAACTGCATTCACAGTTTAGGAATTTATTACCGATTATTCTGAAATAAATTTCGAAAAGCGATTATTTAAAGATAACTCAAAAGTCCCAGACCTTTTGGTCTGGGCATGATTTTGCGAAGACTGAACATAACCAAAGTCCCTATTGCTTGCGGAGACTTTTAAAATAGGTTTAATTCTGTTGAAGACTTATGTTTATGGCTCTGTGTTTTATGATTTTGTAAAGAAGAGGATGCTTGTTCAATCTGCAGTAACTCTAAAAGTGCCAAAGCTCTTTTGTGTCCATTAATGATACAAAATCTATTTCTGAATTTATTTGAATCCTACATGTAATTACATCACAGAGTAAATGTTGACTTTTCCTTCTAATCCTGACAAAACGATACACTGTTTATACAGTGTTATTTTAATATGTTTTATGTCTCAATTATGAATAATATTTTCATGTATAAGATGAAATGCGTCATCTTTTTTTTTATTTCAAGTATAAAATGTTTTCCCTCTACAGGTGAGCTTCATGTACCTCTGGAAGTATGCGGGGCTGTGGTTATGCGGGAGTTGGATTTTTGGCAGGTGGATCAGCACGCCATCAAATCTTGTTGCTGGCGTCATTACCGATCTTACATAGAAAACAAAAGAATCCTCGACTCCTTCAACCGCAGTCTGAAGAAAGAGACCTTTTCTGTTGACGTCAGTAAGTTTGAAGGATGGAAAAGAGTACAGATGCAAATGTGGTTAATTCTAGAGCATCCAAGGACTTCCAAGATAGCAATGGTAAGATGGTTTGATATAATCCTTGAAAAATGGCCATAAAACAATTCACTATCAGGCGCAGATCCAGGAATTGAAGTTGGGGGGGGGGGGTGCGCAGAAGTAGGCAGGGGATCTGGAGCTCCTGGATTCTAGAGATTTTGTAGGGTAAAAATGAGGTCTACCGAGTAGACATTTTTTTCATTTTCTGGACGAAACTATGATTTACGCTAACTTTGACAGTTTTAGGGGGGGGGGGGGCACCCCTCTTAAATCCGCCACTGACTATGTTTATATGAAGAAGATATTCTAATTTGTGAGCTGTATTACTCTCAGACGTGATTTGGTAGGATGATAACCATACAATCATCTGTGAGGCATCTACGAAATAACATGAAAATTAATCCAAAAAAAATTCTTTTTGCTTTTTAAAGTTTTTTTTTAAAAGCTGTAATTAGATGTGTTTGAATATTTATATCCCCTATAATATCTCTGTTTCAGGCGTATGGAGTTGTTTCCCTGATGTTCGTTGTTGTGTCTATCCTCGGATTTTGTTTAGAAACCCTGCCGGGTCTTCGACCAAGCCAACGTTCCCACAACAGTTCAATGAACGTTAACTGCCCTGGAAACAAAACGAAAATCATAGAACTCAGGGAGAACGAAGCACTCTACATTTTAGACATAATCTGTACAGTGTACTTCACCATAGAACTCGTTGTCAGGTTTATCTTTGCTCCACAGAAACTGAAGTTCATCCGTTCCGCTATGAACATCATCGACCTACTCGCTCTGGTGCCTCTATATATGCAGTTAATTCTTAACTCGGATGACATGCGAGCTTGCTATATGAATGAACAGTTGATTATTGAGATCATGTTCGTACTCCGTATTATACGTATGTTCCGAATATTTCATTTGGTGAAACATTATCAGGCGTTGAAAATCTTAGTGTATGCGTTGAAAGCAAGTCTTCAAGAATTACTCATGCTCGCGATTTTCCTTATTATAGGTATGTTAATATTTTCATCCTTGATTTACTATGCAGAAAGGCATAAAATTGATTCTGGGGAGCCAGAAACTATAACAACCATTCCAATGGGATTTTGGTGGGCGATAATCACCATGACGACAGTAGGGTACGGTGACAAACATCCGACCACAACTGTCGGTTACATTGTGGGAACCGCATGCGCAGTCGCTGGTGTTCTTATGATTGCGCTCACCATTCCAGTTATATCCAATAATTTTACACTTTTCTACACACATGTACGTTCAAAAGGAGGAAAGGGACCCCCTAATTCAGATTCGAAGGAATCACTCGTATTATCATCCATTGATGATCTGGACAGAGAAACAGAATTTGATGAAAAACGGAAGTTATCAAGCGGGTCTTTGGTTGTGGAGGCATACATGAATGGAACGCATGTTATCCGGAAATTGACTTCAAAGTCTGGAAGTCCACAATATTCTCCAATACTGAGAAGAATTCCGGAGTCCAACTCTTTAGTGGACATTTGTGATAGGCGGAAATGCAATGGAGAATTTGACCTGATTAGAAACAACAGTAGCAAAGCTAAGAGTGACGATGGTGTTACTTACGCAGGGGAAACACCGCTTTGATAAAAACAAGTCTTCTTTTTTTATTCTTGGCAATAATGTAATTTCAATGTAATGTAAATGGTCAATATATTGTACAATTAAGAAAAATATTTTTTTCCCCTTAAATTTACGTTATTATAATTTTTTTCTGAAATATATCTTATTTCATTACAGCCAAAAAGTAATATTAAGATAAAATTTTCTTTGATATACAATGTAATTTGATTTGGAGACGTACTATTCTTTACGGTACGCTCCACGTGACTACTGATAGTTTCTGGGAAAAAATGTATAGAACTTTGAACATTTGTCACCTAATGTCCAGAGAGTTGGCAAATATATATATCATCCATGCACATGATAAAAATCAACTTCGGTTACATTTTCACTTTCTCTATAATTCTTGTATATGTATGTGAATATCAATGCACATTTCAAAAATCATTTTCAGCGATCATAATTCAAGGTTGTTTTCCCCCATTTTAATGCTATGCAAGAGTGTAGGTTGGTGTAGTATAATTATTCTCAAATTATTGTGTTTAGTTTAATATTTATATTCTTTGTTAAAATATTGTTATTACATCATTTTTAATGAGCTTGCACATTACGATAGGACCAAGTTTACACACATAGAAATGGTGACCTAACCCCAACTCAAAATCCATCCTATTTAAAATCTGTAATTTCAAACACTATTAGTGTAAAACAGTATTATGAATAAACATGCTATTTGATATACATGTAATATATAATTGCATGCATGTATTTACATTTATGACCATTGTAATTTCCAGATATATTCAAAGTGAATAATTGCTTGAAAGTTACTCGAAATCCAGATACTTATTCCATTCACATTTTATCGCGATGTCATTCCAATTTTTAGTGATCATGGTTGGGGCTATGGCAATGTTTAATTTCTTTTGATATACATGTATTTGAATGTTGTGTTTACTTATCACTTTGTAACGTGACTTTGTTAACCCAGAAATGCCCTTTTTTTAAACAGTGATTTTTTTTGTTGAAATGCAAACTATCTTACATATGATTTGATAGATAACGTTTTATCAACGAATATTATCGTACTTACAATTGTATTAACAAAGGTAGTTGTTTTATTTGATCTACGTAGCCAGCTGGGTTTTTTTTTTATTACCATTCTGTACATATAGCTTTAAATTGTTAATGAATCGAAGCTTCCAAAGTTCATGTTGGTTTTCTCTGAAAATGAGGAAAATGTTATTATTTATTTCTTAACCCCAAAATAATTTTTTTTGGAATGTGTTTTAGCAATCCAATGAATACTACCGTCGTTAAGAAATGCAGATTGTATGTCCGAAGTCAGATGGTTTGACAAACACGAGTTTTTGTATTGTTGATTGAGCAATAATTGTATCTTTCATGTATATATGGTGAAACAATCATTTTTTAAAATTTTAATGGTATATGTCACACTATGTACAGCTTTTATGTATGCACATACTTTTTGATATTCTAGTTATTTTTACTTTGCTCACTTTGATAATGTACACTAATACGGTGATGGACTATGAATCATGATTTTATTTGTGTTTATACTTTTTCTTTCAATATTTTTACACGTTGCAGACCAAGGCTTTTACTTCGTGTCGTGTCGTTACGGGCTTACTCGTGTAAGTGCACTGGCTATTCAGATAAGCATTCCACGTGAAATTTTACAAATTGTTATCTTCGTTTATTTGCTGCTATTTACATCTCAATAAAATTGAGTTGAAATGCAAACTTACTTGATTTATTCTGGTATAAGAACTTAAAACTGGCGTCTTTAAAGAAGGATAAAGCTTTGTTACTGCACGATTTGAAATATGAACAAATTGTCTAAGATTACAATGATTATATAGGTATAGGAAGATTATTTGTATAGAATGTAGTCTTCATATATTGAAGGGACACACATTAATTCATCTAATATGTACTAAGTACCTGTAAAGCAGGTATTCAATTCAAGCACGCTTTTTTACTCACTCGAAGGCTTTTCTTTACCGCATTCACACCCACACTCCAACCCATACTATACTTCCAAAAAGAAATGTTAGAAATAAATTTTGTTTCAATAATTAAAAAAATGGTCTCACCAAGCAATGTTTGATAGAGCAAATTCTCGTATAACGAAGTATAGCTAGAAATGGTTGTCCTAATGATGAGTGTCGTATAAGCGTTATGCAATGGGTAGTAGCCAATGGGAATGTGTTTTGGTAATGGCGTGTTCGAATGGGTTAACAGAGATTTCTAGTATTCATTCTATTACTGCACAGGCTTTACCGGACAAGTAAAAAACTTTTGCTCATTGTAATAAGCAGGTTTACAAAGATTTGTGAGAATGAGTCCGCCATTTATTGTTTTCTTGCAGAGCATTACAATAATGCTCAATATACTCATGTTTGGGAATTGATTACTTGTGTATTATAGCTTTGTGTTATCTCTTTTTTTCCAACCATTTGATTTGTTTTGGTTGTTTTATCTGTATAAAAATCTTTACAAACATATATTGCAAGGTCAAGTAAATGTTCAACCAAGTCCCTATCCTTACACCTCACCAAAATATTAATGCTATGAAGGACTTATTGTGCAGCTACATAAATATATTCAAGAAGTGCGATAAATCAGTATTAATGTGGATTAAAAAAAAATCCAATTTTTTTTGGAAAATTTAAAATTTCAAAACTTTTCAAACATCAAATGCATTAAAACATAACTTTTCTATGCTTTATATAACCATTCCTCACGACAAATTAAAGAGCAGGCTTTTTGTCATCATAGACAACTGCTTCCAAAATAAAAATGAAACTCTTGGGATTGGTTTTTCTGCTTAAACTTTCAGTAAGGCGTGACATTCTCGGTGATACATAATTAGCGTCTCTCAAATGGTGACCTTACTGAAAGTTTAAGCAGAAAAGAAATTTGTACTATTTTGTTAAAAATCATTCTGATGCAACACACAAGTACTTTGAAGTAGATATTAAAAAGATGCTGGAGTTCCTCATTGAAGACCAAGTCTTCCAACAATCTGTTGGAATTGGTCACTAATCGTGCCCCTTTATTAGCCGACTTTTTTTTCATATTCCTATGAAGCAGAATTTATCCAGAAAAATCTACTAGAAGAAGAAAACTCTTGCCGTTGCCTTCAACTAAATAAGTAATTATTAGTAATATTCCGTTATCACCAGCACATGGTGTTTATGCCCCTCTTTTAAAGGTTTAACCCCCTTTTAAGACAGCATTTCATAAATTCTATGGTCGATATAATGACCTTGTTAACAAATATAACCTATCACTGGGTCATATTTTGGCTGACTGATTCATACCAATTAATTGTTATGCCTTTGTTTTATGCTAAATTTGACTACAGAATATTCTGTCTAGCTGATCAATACATAGTGCTCACGGCGGGTGTGACCGGTCAACAGGAGATGATTTCTCCTCCTAGACGCCTGATCCCACCCCTGGAATTTCCCAGGGACTTTGTTGTATGCCCTGTTCCCAAATCTGTATTATTTATAGATTTTTTTAAGATTCATCACTGTTCGTTATTTACACCTTTTTCATCAAAGTATACTTTGACAGTCCTACAATAAACTACAATAAACTGTGCATTATGAACATGCATTGTAATTTGTTGTAAATAATCTTTCAACCCAAAGAGTTATCTATTCTCATTTCAACCATCTTTGCTAAGCAAGCGTCTCTTAGCTGCTTCCATGAGTTTGTGAGGAGAGAAGCATATCTAAAACATTAACCAAGGGGATATAAAACCAATAAGGAGAATACTGTAGTATTAGCATTGAGTTAAAAAATCGGCATATCCTTTCTGATCTGTACATAAACTTTACAAAACTGAATAAACAATAAACAACTGAAATATAATGAAACTATACTGTATTTATACTAATACTTTATACCACATGTCTATAGGTAAAATATATATACATCTATAAACTAATGCTACATGTACTCCTTGACTAGAAATCTATCACATGCAAGATATATCATATGATTATTAAAAAATGATAGCATTTTACAACACAGAACAATAAAGAATGATTACTTGTAACTTAATAAGGATTACATGGCAATAGGAACAAACCGTAGAGGAGCTTCTTACGAGTCTGATCTACTTTGAAATAGAAAAAAGCTAATCTCTGTGACCACTTAAACTTTTCTGGCATGCTTGATTTTGATAAAACTGTGCCCATTATTACAACTTGACACAAGAAACATGTATCAAACAAAATTTGGTTGCTATGTGCCTTGGTTGCCATGGTAACAATCAGGAAAATTTGAGAGAAAAAATGAGCTATTCAGCTTCTTTGAATCTTTACCAGGCCTTACTAAGAAAATCAAACAAACCACTCTTAAAGAAATATTACATACTGATGCCCCTTTTGCTATAAAGAAACTTTTTAGAATATATTTCTAAGTAAGTACATGTAGTAACCATGGGTACATTTGGAATACATTTTAAATGCAGTAAAAATACTTAATATTCACTATTTATGATTTGAACAAACTTGAAGTTACACTACAGAAGTATTTGCTTTCTTTAGAAAAAGATTTTTAAAAAATGTTCCTATATATATATATATATATATATATATATATATATATATATATATATATGTAAAACTTTGATGCCCTGATGTGGCCCCACCCTACCTCCGGGGGTCATGATTAAGATTTGAACAAACTTAAATCTACACAGCCTGAATTAAAATGACTCATCACGGCTTTGCTGTTCTGGTGAAGATTTTTAAAGATATTTCATATATACAGTAAAACATGCTTATAGCAAACAAGCTTATTCTTACAGGGAAGTGATTTTTATTCCCTCTGGCTTTAAAATATATTGTGACCTTAACATATAGAATGGATTATAATTATAACGAAGCAAAATCATACATGTATGTTCCTGGCATGACACACAGCAATCAATTTTTGCCTGATAAAGTTTATGGTATCAAAGACTTTAATCATAGAAAGTTACAAGAAATTTTGGGACTATGCATGCCACACCTCCCGTATAGATGTTCAAGTCATTATAGAGAATGACTCTTAAGATTTCATTGTAGTGATGCTAGAATTTACTTTGATGTGTTAAAGTAAAGGCCCTGCTTTTACAAATCCCGTAACTCGCTCAAGCTAAAAACCATGAGAATAGAAAAATAGATCCTTACTTCTATATAATTCTGTCCAACAAAAATAAAATAATTACAGGTATTCAAAATTGCACCTTTGATCACATTTCAAATTGCTATTCAAAATTGCACCTTTGATCACATTTCAATATCTAAAATAAAAATGTATTTTTAAAAAAAGGCTCCCGTTAAGTTTTGGTACATAGGGAAGAACTAAAAGTTAAATAATGGCACACATAATCTGTAACAATAGACATGCTTGACTGCATGCTAACAATAACATAAACATTGAAATCTATATATTTGCTAAAACTAATACCAATTTGGATTATCCCTCTTTGTCTATATTGACAATTAATATTATTGTTTAAAGAGACCTGTGTGTCATGCAATATTCACTTAATATATATAATCCTCTTCACCTTTAACAGGATCCTCATGTAAATCTATTCCATTCCCCTACCCCATGGAAATTTAAGTCAGTTTTTTCCAATATATCACAAGAAAAATCCATTTCTTTCTGAGACAGTCAGTGTATAAAAAAATTAAATCATTTACAGAAACAAAACAAAAATTGCATCTTTCTTCCTTACGCAGGGTCACATCTTAAATATTTCAATACATAATGTTATACACTGCACAAGGAAGACTTCTAATTTTATGGTATTTTGGGGCAGTTAGAGTTATCTGCCCTTCAAAACTGAAACAGATTAGTTTAAAAGCAGTGGTATTAAACAGTGTGTAATCAATTCAGGTGTATTCTTAACATTACATTAGACCTGCAAGATAAATTACATGTAATTGAATACTTTATCTGCAAGTTGTTTCCCCATTTAAGTAACCAACAGTGATTTCTGCGCATCAATACTGTGTTGTCTTCAAAAATTTTTCCTAGCCGGTCCAAGGTATCTATTTGGAAAATCAAATACATCTGATTCTCCTAAATATTTTCACCTTTATATGATTTAATTTTCTTGAATCCAAAACAAAACTATTTATATATTAGAGGGTCTTCAAAATTACATGTCATACACACACTTTTTTCCAATCTGTATATGTACATGTAGGTAAGTAAGATAAAAATACCTCTTTACAATTTTTTGTGGGGCCTGGAAAACAACAATTAAATTTCAACCTATTGTTTAATTAAAAGAAAGAATTTTTTAAATAATAATAAAAAAAAAATCAGATAACCATTAAAAAAAATTTTAATTTAAATAATAATGATGACTAGTCAAAGTGTACAAAGTAACATATTATCAAAGAATTAGTAATATAAACGCTGTTGTGTTGATAATACTGTTTTTTTCTCCTCATGATTCAAAGGTCACTTACTAGAATTAAATTCTTCATGTATTTTATGTGAATATACACTTTAAATTCAAGTATCATACAGTTGATAAGTATTCAGGTTAAGAGTAAACACGGCGGTACAAAAATAATGACAAGATGTAATACCCATATAAAACAATAACACAACAACAGAACAGTTTTCTGTAGTTCAAACACACTGCAAATAGATCACTTGCAGCAAATGAAATGCTTTAAATATAAAATCAATCACATGGTGCTGTGCCATGTTCTGGCAGTGTTAGGTGAGACCTGCCAGGGAGGAGCCTGAGTTGGTGTCTTTGGTGACAAAGACCTTTAACGAGGAAAGAATGTGGCGGTCAGACAGGTTCGATTGCTGATGGATAAATAGATTAGTGGTAGAGCACCTGACTAGAGATTCAGGAGGCCCGGGTTCAAGTCCCAGTCTTGTCTGTCACATTTTTCTCCTCTCTGGTTATACACAATTAATTGTTCATAATTTCTATAAATATCATAAATTGGACAGAGAAAAACAAAATGGAATAAAACTTTGTCAATACTAGAAGAAATGCCAGCAATGCAAAAATCTATATGGCCGTTTTATATGAAATGATGAATATATCAACAACTTTTTCAACTGCAAAACAATTTGTGTACATCTTTCTAACAAATATGTATGAAGTCACCTGAAAAAGCTGAAGTTAAAAATATTTTACATATTTAAAACATTTAATTCTTAAAGCACCTTATACTGATGATTATACCTGTATAATCAATGTGTATACATGAAAAATTTCAGTCAGAATTCTATTATTAGTGATATCAATACAGTAAAACACTATTATAAAGAACTTGCTCATAAGGAAACATTTATGAATCCCTTACAAGTAAGGGCGAAACGATTACACGTATAAATGGCGACGTTTCGATTAAATGCTCTAAACATTTACAAATTGAGTAAACGTTTACACAAAGGTCATTATCAATGTCTATCAAAAATAAA